CACATACAACCAGGGAATCGAAACCACACCAGTTAACTCAATGACAGATCTTATGATACAGCGCACACATGCTAACAATTCGGCTATCCAACCTCCGCATGATGAACAAAAGGCTTGGTCTGTCAACTAAAGAAATACAGAAGGCTTATTGTGCATCGCTATGTCATGTGTTTTAAATACCGTTATTTAACGTCCGCTTCCACCAAAGTGATATCGCTGACAATTACATGTTTTGATATATGGAAATAAATTATTCACAAAATAAAGTGTAAAACATTAACAGATAGGTGGAAAAAAATTATATATATATGCCTGTAACAAGCCTATTTAGTACGAAAGTACGAGGCGTTCTTGATAACGCTGTATGGAAAGTTGACTGTCTATATTATACTAGCATTACAAGAAGGTTAGATTAACAGACATTCATACTAAGGGACGATGGAAAAAGCAGTCTGGGTCATCTACCAGAACATCTGAAGAATGAACTTTCGCACTAATGGACAGACTGTCAGATTTTTGGGTTGTTAACTATATACATTTCTGAAGTTCATCTTCTCAGTTTTCATCCTGGAAATTAACCTTGATAATGTACAGCAAGACATATAGGCATAGCACACATACATGTAAGTGAAAAGGCCCCAAGTTTGATGGGAAGTTTGGACTCCGGGTCAAAGTCAAGGTCAAGGCCAATCCAATGGTTAGATCTATTTGATAAGGCCAACTTCAAGTTTGGTCAAAGGTTGCGAGATGTAAACAGGGCTAGCGCTAATCCCAACCCTAACCCTAGCCTAGAGCCAATGCTTACACTAACTCTAACTTACAATCTGGCGAACAATCATGTGCCTAACCTTATTTACATCTCAGCGACTTTGACAAAAATTGAGCTGGCCTTCACAAATAGAATTAGCCCAATCCAACTGGTCAACGCCAAATAGTCATTTATAGAAAATGGTGACTTAACGCAAAAATTAAATTATTATTATCATGAACTGCAGCGTTAGGCAGGAAGCTCAGTTTGTCAAAATCCATTTCAGTGTCTTGTTGTTATTAGAGTCTAAATAGTCAACAAACAAAATGGCGTCTATCGGATAAACGCATCACTTGGCAGAAGCTAAAAGGTCGAAAAAATGAAAAGTTATTGATCGATTCGGCTAAAATTTGCTGTGAGGTCATGGCTAGTCCCCCTTTAAAGGAGCTAAATCGCTAATATTTGGGACCTAGAAATTGACACAAATGGGTCGTAACGCATATAATAATATATGAATGTATAAACTGGATACATCTCTTAACCTGACAAGGACAGATGTCTAGTCATTTGGATGGAACGAAAAACTGAGGTCCTGTGTATACATTGGTGTGCGCATAAAAGATCCCTTGGCAGTTGGAATTCGATATAAGAGTAGGCCGTAGTACTGCTGCCCAGGCAAAATTTCCCTCCTAGCACACTTTATGGCGTATGCCCATCTTCATTAGATTTACTTTCAATCGTTTTCATTTTTACTGTAATTTCTAATTAGTTACCTTCCGCGAAATACGGCAGAAGTATCAATCGAATGGCAATCTCTAGCGTCTGGTTATACTGTAATTTCTAATCAGTTACCTTCCGTAAAATACGCCAGAAGTCTCAATCGAATGGCAATCTCTAGCGTCTGGTTATACCACTTTACCAGTCTACACCGATAGTATTTATTGTGCATGCTCTCCAGATAAGAATATGTCGTCGCCGTTTGACATGACTTGTGGAATATGACTAGCCTCGTTCTTCAAGTCCCTTGTTACAAATGGCACTGAAGCGCATTATGGTACACGGTTCGTGTAGGAATGGTAAATTAATGTTTATTTTGTCTTAAATATTGGATATCAGAAGCCCATCTTTTCCCGTAAGATCACATCAGTGTTGACTTCAATTGACAAATAATTCGTGTTTTCAATATCGAAGATCGAAGACTTTGGATGATATTGATTTTGAGACTTAGCTACTTTAACACCCCCTGGAACAGGTTGATGTGCGAAAATGCAACCAATAACGCCTCCAACTTTTTCGAGAATCCTTTGAACCTTCCCATTACTTCTACTGTGTGAACCATCGTAAATTTTAAACGGATTTCTTCGATTATGAACAAACTACTTAACTTTGGTTATTATAAACTTACCTGTGTGTTTGTAATGAACTCCCGTTCGATAAAATCCATTGCACAACTAATTATCACAACGATGAGAACAAGTTTTCTCTTGAAAAATTTGAAAATTTACTTGTAATTTCGACAGAGTCGATGTCAACAATGTCTTCGTGACGTATTGGTCGAATCCAATATACCTGTTGCGGGGGTTGGTTAACATTGAAAGATAGTTTGACAGCGCGATCATTTTGATCGTATATGGGTTTGGGCGACGAAAAATATCAATTGAAGGCAATTACATAGGAGATTTATATGGAAACCATTGATCGCCAGTCTATCAAATTTTCTTCACAATTAAAATATCACTGATTGCACGGATACTCGTAAAAATAAAGTCATGTATAAACTATAAATATCCTATCTTCTTTATGTTGTCTTTGAAAGGCATTTAGTGAAAGTGATATATAATAACAGACAGCTTTATGGATGACATTCACTAGGTTTATTAACTGCAACGTTTCAATGAGGTTACTCTCACCGTTATCAAGCAATGATACCACTAGGTTTATTAACTGCAACGTTTCAATGAGGTTACTCTCACCGCAGTTAATAAACCTAGTGAATATCATCCATAAAGCTGTCTGTTATTATACTTCTTTATGTTATAAATAATTTAACAAGGATCATGAAGTTTACCTCCGAATTCTCTGAGTGTATTTTTAATTTTATACGCAATTTTTCGATCGAATAATAACCGCTTCAGTAACATATATAATGGTATATAATGCTACTAAGCCTGTATGACCCCGTAAGAAGCGGAACATTAATTCTCGATTCGACAGTTTTGACCGAAGTGTGATAAAGCCCGTAAAACGAATGTATAGTTGTGTTTGTTTGGCATGCGTGTTCAAAAGTAAATAATCCCATCCGAGTCGCTAATCAAATAATTAGAACAAAATATTTCAAAAAGTAAAGCTATAAAATTTGCAGAGATTTTACTAGAATGTAAAAGACGGTAACTAAATACAGGAATGCGGGTAGTTATGTGTGCGAAAGCTCAAACTCAATGCCAATTGTCGTAGGTATCCAGACCACTCGGACTAAAGACTACTCGGACTAAGACCAGTCGGACCAAAACAAGACCAGTCGGACCAATTAAATTATATTATAAGGCTAGACAATATGCTATTTATTTATTATTAAATCACAATACAAAGAAGCAAATAATTCTTATACGGAATTCTTATATTTAGAGTTGTTTAGTTCAATTTTGTGTACGGAAAATAAATCAACGATTAGTTTTAAAATTAATTAATAATGGTGCCAAAAAAAATATCAATCTAATTTTTCTTATTTACTCTTGCAATGAGACTCGGTATGTCCAGACTTTTGACAGTTTCTACATATACGGGTATACTGTTCTTGTCTGATAGCCTAATTTTACTTTTTCCACATTCGCGGTATCCCCAGTGGTTTCATTCCGTTCTACCCCACTAACCTCTGGGTTACTATATATGGGGGGGGGGGGGAGGAGAGAGACACGTTTTCAAGTTATCCACCCTTGATGCGTTAATATAAACAGCACATAATAATACGAAGACCCGACGTTTATGTCCCTTTTTAAACGTGACTACAAGTGTGGTTCTCGATATTTTGCGATTTGGAATACAATTATCAATTTATTCAAACAACACGTTATTATTAGTTCGAGTAGTCATATTAAAACACACACAATTAGAAATTTATTCAAATAACACTTTATTATTAGTTCGAGTAGTCATATTAAAATAAACACAATTATCAATTTATTAAAATAACACTTTATTATTGGTTCGAGTATTCATATTAAAGGCTCAATACCACTCTTGTTGTAACTGAATAATATGTCCCAATCATTATTCTGGTCAACAAATTTTACTATTTTAGAATATTTCAATTAATTGATGATACAAATTTCATCTTAACACACCTTATTTAAAAATTTTGAAATATTCAACATAATGGTTTGAAACGTCTAACATAAACCTTTCCAAATGAAACTTCTATTTAAAAATATTTTCGAACCCTCTGGACAAGTAAAATAGGATGTAATGGATAATTTACACAACAGGTAGGACACTTAAACATCTAGTACTTAGATAGAGATATTATTTATTTTCTGGAGCTTTCAAGCCAGCAAGAGTGTTATTGTCCCTTTAAAACAAACGCAATTATCAATTTATTAAAACAACACTTTATTATTGGTCCGAGTCGTCTTTCTGTTGGGTCCGAATAGTCTTTTTGTATGGTCCGGGTAGTCTATTTGTTTGGGCTGAGTGGTCTATCAGTTGGTCCGACTGGTCTTGAACCGAGTGGTCTTTGGTCCGAGTGGTCATGGATTCTTGTCGTAATTGTACTTGAATTTCCTATGCTGTCACCACTAATACGAAATGATATCTTCCGCAGAGTGACGTAACCATCTTCCATATTGGTATTTTTCTCTGGGAAAAGTTTGTGATATTTCAATTTTTCAAGAGAGAATTTGTTTTCATCGTTGTGATAATTAGTTGTGCAATGGATTTTATCGAACGGGAGTTCATTACAAACACACATGTAAGTTTATAATAACCAAAGTTAAGTAGTTTGTTCATAATCGAAGAAATCCGTTTAAAATTTACCAAGACTCAGACAGTAAACACCGTTTCCATATGACGATTGTAGAAAGTTCGATTAATTACCATTCAGATTAGGTGTCCCCATTTCGTCTTTTTTCTTGACCATTAGGATTAGGTTAGCATTGCCATATTTATTAGAATAGAATAACATTGGTATTGGAATTTCAATTAGCCTATTCCGTATTTGCACATTTGGGCGTGTTGATTTTGAAAGAAAGGAACTAACCTGTTCTGGCTTCTTTTTTGTTTTAACAAGTTCATCTCTTGTAGGAATAGTTCCACCATCACATCCCATGATAAAATGATGATAAGTGTGTGTTTGGAAAAATTAATTTGAGAACGGGTTAAAATTAAGATTACGGTTTGCGAAACTGTTTACGTTTTACAAACCGGAAGTCCAAGAAAAATGGAATTCAAGTTTTCCTTACTTTCGTATAAATTATCAATTGTTCTTTTTAGGCGGTTCTCTTGGTAGAGATCTTATTATTTCATGTAAAATAATGTACAAAAAGTATTTTATGTTTGATAATAATAGTTCTATGCATCGCTAGAAATACATGAGATCTGTAGAAAACGGAACAAGCTACGGAAGACCATTAGGGTCTTATCAAAAAAGAGAGAGAGGGGAAAATGGGGTTTAACATCCCGGTGGAGTGGGGGGGGGGGGGGGTACTCTTTTCTCCAGGTTATTGCGGCCCCTGGACCCAAGCCTAAAAGGACCTAGGATGGAAGCCCCCCCCCCCCCCCAATCAAGAATTGCTTCCGCCGGCCCTGCTACACATCCGGGTATGATCCTGTAATCTAAATTTTCTGCAGTTATTCCTGAAGACAGGGGTGGCACAAATCAGTACCGTACGCTTTTTTTTTCATACATACTCTTCAAAAAAAGTAGGGGATATTGAAATGCAAATACCTATGTAGGTTAATTGTGATATGATAAATAGTCATGGACACTTAATTGACATGCTTTAAGTATGTTCACAGATGAAGAACTTATCGCCCCAACAGAACCACTGAGCTATACGTGCGACACGCAATAGCGCAATACTCGTGGGAGGGGTTCATTGTCAAATTTGACACTTCAAGGAAGGGTTGCTGAAAACTGCCGCGTGCTGGTTTATCCTATCAATGTTTGCTTTCCTATAGGTTCTTGCATAAGATTTACTGTTTAGCGTATCTTTGCTTTAGTTTGTTACGTTTAATGTGCAATGAGATGTCTTCAACATGATGAACGTCTACGTGCTATTGGCATGCTTCAAATGGGTTCTTCACAGCAAGCAGTAGCCAACATGCTTAATGTGCCACAGTCTGTGATCAACAGAATGTGGAACCGGTACCAACAAACACACAATGTTGATGATAGACCTCGTTCAGGTCTTCCTAGAGCCACTACACAAGCCCAGGATCGATACATTCGTACACAGGTCCTGCGAAATCAAGGACAGGCGGACAATCAACTTTCTGTAAACTTGTACCAAGTTACAGGAATTCGAGTTACACCCCAAACGATTAGAAATCGGCTACATGCAGCCCATTTGCATGCGTGACGACCGCGTGTTGTGCCTCCATTAACTCGCCAGCACATGGCAAACAGGCGCCAATGGTGTAGGCAGCTTAGAAATTGGGGTAGTCGTCGATGGGCGCGTGTAATGTTCTCAGATGAGTCAAGATTTACTCTGGATTTCACCGATAGGCGTGCTCGCGTTTGGAGGCGTGTAAATGAGCGTCATGCTAACGTTAACTTCAGACAGCATGACAGATTCGGGCGTGGGTCTTTTATGGTGTGGGGAGGAATCACCAAGACTGGCAGAACGGACTTGCATATTGTAGGCTGGTTGGAGAAGGTGACAAATCCAGCTTTGTGGGAAGAAATTCCTACCCAAATGATTTCTTCATTTTCTGAAACAACTATGTCCCTAGTGTTCCAGAAAAATTTTCCCCGCCGATCGGAGTTGAGCAATATTTTTTACAGCATTTTGAAATTTTGACCCCCTGGGTCAACATAATGAAACTGACAACCATTTATAACTTCAAAAATATCAATTTTACACCCTAGAAATGTATTATCAACATATAGGAAAGTGATACCAAGGATTCCAGAAATGATGTCAAAAATAACGTACGACGTCACCGTGACGTCAGAATACAAAATGGCGGAACTATGACGTCACTGTGATGTCAAAATTCAAAATGGCGGAGACGTGTTGTGAATAAAGCAACAACAGCAAGCAAATAGACAAGAGGAACATTCTGGACACCATAAAATATTCATTCGGATCATCATCAATAAAATCATCAAAATATTCTTCAGTTCTGATTTGTTCTGCCCCGTACCAAATTCATCTTCTAAATCAATGCTGATTTGTTGGCTATTCAGACAACCCTCCCCATGGCATCCTCCACGCGCTTCAACACATTTCAAACCATTCTGTGTACAAGAACATGACGAGCATTGGTTTTTCAACGATTTACATTTACACCGAATGAAATTCAGAACGTTGTCTGGTGCTGATGGAAGAACAGTCGCGATGGGAACGTATCTATTCTCTATCACTTGCCCACCCCAATTCACAAGGTCGACGCCATCGCGACTAGTTCATCCCAAATTCTAACCTTAACATGGACGCGGTGAGCATGCTGCTCGGCTGAGGCAGCTGTTGGAGGAAGTCTATTGATTTGAATGGAAATTTTTTCAGCGATCATAGCTTTGTACCTTAGGTACCGGACTTTAGTTGTGACAATACATTACACAGAATAACCTTTCTCCAGCTTCAGATACTTCGGACTGGGAACTTCCAGGGGAAGCTATTGTCTAGCTTGCTTCCTGAAAGATATCACTGTTCGTATGTTTAAGAAGTCCCAATTCACAGCATCCGAAACAACCAGAAGTGGTATCACACCCAGACCAGGCGTGAATGAACAATAAATTGTCTAATACAGTTTTATCCATTGCGCTGCAGACTGATTTTATGTCATAGGTGTTGCGCTTTTTGTCCAAGTGGCAAAGATGAATTGTCGCCATTTCTGGTTTCGCGTGGTGCAGTAATGAGACCAAAATATCTGTGTCATTACAGGTTGACCATTTCTAGCGTAGTCAATGCACGTCTTCGTAATAGTGACATCTGCATCACCATTGTACCATTTTGTCGGGACTCCATGGGATTCAAGATCGTTGACTACCTGATTGATTAGACGGATTTTGTTTTCAGTGTTGGCCAGAAACTGGCCTTGACTATAGATAACTGTGGTGTCCGATTTCAGAGAAATGTCACTGTTCCTATATTTAGACGTAGCAGCTCGGCGCTCGTGCTCATGATCCTTAATATTTGGTTCATAGCCGTCGAACACGATGAATATCTCCAACATCTTAGAAAACTATCGGTCATTTGTAAAAAGATTTCCCTCGCCAATCGTCGTGTTTGGTTCATAGCCGTCGAACACGACGATTGGCGAGGGAAATCGGGTACCAGAGAAATGTATACGGCTTTGTGCTAAACCATCGCTTGGAAAACATATCCAGAATATCGGGAAAATATATTTCTTACCGAAAGCATATACTCGTTCTTTCAGATAAAAATAAGATTAGATGATCAAACATTGATAATACAAGATGTTTTGTAAATAAAATATCTAAAAGATAATAGAAGATATAAATAGTTAAAATAAAGAATATGTCATTATTGGACTCTATAGTAGAGGGGGTTCATCATGAAATCGGGGGGATTGGATGGCCGAATGGTTATCACGTGCGCGCTGTATCATACGGTCTGTCATTGAGTCAACTGGCGGAGTTTCGTTTCCCCGGTTGTGCGTGACAAAGAGTATGGTCGCCTGTCCAACCTCGTAGGTTTTCTCCGGGTCCTCCGGTTTCCTCCCACTACAAAAGACCCCTACGCGCAAGCGAATTATTGAAATAGAACTGAACATAGTTTGTGTCGAGTGGACGTTAAACCCAATTTCTCTTTCCCTATGAAATCAATAGAAATTACTGTAAATTCGGGAAGGCAATAATTTTATTGTTGGGCTAATATACTTTTTTAATTTTACATTTTAATTGAAATATTGTACAGCTAATGGGTGATACTTGGCAATACCACCATGGATATCTATGTCTTAATCCAACGCAGTTCAGGATTTCAAAAGGTGATGGAACGCCATATCAAAACTAAAAAGTAAAACGTGTGTAAACTTTACACATGTACGTCGAGTTCTATATTTAGAAATTAATTTTTGAAGAAAGCATTATAAAATATGGAAGCTATTTCTACAATGTGACAAAACAAAATTAAACGATTCTCTTTAACTGGGATTTTAGTTATCTATATAACTGTTATCTTATAAGCCAACAAAAGTTTCAGGTATATCTTCGTGGATTTTGCAATCCCGGGGTGTGAATTATTGTTTTATCTTTTGTTGATTAGCTGAATAAATATAGGTTTGTTTGATTGGTTGAATATATCGAATTATTTATTGACACAGGTGAAATGGTTAGGTTAGGTTTTATAACAGGGGCAAAGTCAGAATATATATTGTCTACCTATTTAAGAAAAGAACACCACCCACCACCATTTAGACGTAGCAGCTTGGCGCCCGTGCTCATGATCCTTAATATTTGGTTCATAGCCGTCGAACACGATGAATATCTCTATCATCTTAGAAAACTATCGGTCATTTGTAAAAAGATTTCCCTCGCCAATCGTCGTGTTTGGTTCATAGCCGTCGACCATGACGATTGGCGAGGGAAATCGGACACCACAGTTATCTATAGTCAAGGCCAGTTTCTGGCCAACACTGAAAACTGTATTAGACAATTTATTGTTCATTCACGCCTGGTCTGGGTGTGATACCACTTCTGGTTGTTTCGGATTCTGTAAATTGAGACTTCTTAAACATACGAACAGTGCCATCTTTCGGGAAGCTAGCAAGACAATAGCTTCACCTGGAAGTTCCCAGTCCGAAGTATCTGAAGCTGGAGAAAGGTTATTCTGTGTAATGTATGGTAACAAAAATGAGATACCTCTGACTAAAGTCTGGTACCTAAGGTACAAAGCTATGATCGCTGAAAAAAATTTCCATTCAAATCAATAGACTTCCTCCAACAGCTGCCGCGGCCGAGCAGCATGCTCACCGCGTCCATGTTCAGGTTAGAATTTGGGATGAACTAGACGATGGCGTCGATCCTGTGAATTGGGGTTGGCAAGTGATAGAGAATAGACACGTTCCCATCGCGACTGTTCTTCCATCAGCACCAGAAAACGTTCTGAATTTCATTCGGTGTAAATGTAAATCGTTGAAAAACCAATGCTCGTCACGTTCTTGTACAAAGAATGGTTTGAAATGTGTTGAAGCGCGTGGAGGATGCCATGGGGAGGGTTGTCTGAATAGCCAACAAATCAGCATCGATTTAGAAGATGAATTTGGTACGGGGCAGAACAAATCAGAACTGAAGAATATTTTGATGATTTTATTGATGATGACCCGAATGAATATTTTATGGTGTCCAGAATGTTCCTCTTGTCTATTTGCTTGCTGTTCCGCCATTTTGTATTCTGACGTCACGGTGACGTCATACGTTACTTTTGACATCATTTCTGGAATCCTTGGTATCACTTTCCTATATGTTGATAATACATTTCTAGGGTGTAAAATTGATATTTTTGAAGTTATCAATGGTTTTCAGTTTCATTATGTTGACCCAGGGGGTCAAAATTTCAAAATGCTGTAAAAAAATTTGCTCAACACCGATCGGCGGGGAAAAGTTTTCTGGAACACTAGGGACATAGTTGTTTCAGAAAATGAAGAAATCAATTGGGTAGGAATTTCTTCCCACAAATTTTCTATCTCGACCAGACTATTGTTCAAGGAAGGGACACTGGTATGTACTACCGTGACCACATCCTGGAACCGATAGTTCTGCCCTTTGCTCAACGTGCAGATCGACGTTTCATCTTCCAAGATGATAATGCCCGTGCCCATCGCGCTTGTGTCGAGACTGACGACCTCCAGCGTCACCATATTGTCCATATGCCTTGGCCAGCCACGAGTCCTGACCTTTCCCCTATAGAGCATGTCTGGGATATGAACGGGAGACGTTTTCGTCGACGTCATCGTCAACCGACAGCACTGCAAGAATTGGCCGTAGCACTGCAAGAGGAGTGGGCCAGATTCCTCCAAATCGTGATTGGACAGTTGATTAGGAGCATGCCACGACGAATTGCTGAATGTCTGAGGATTGGTGGAGCAATTAACCATTATTAAGACAAAAATCAAAAACGTCCATTTTCACTTTTGACAGTGTATCTCTTTGCGAGTGAAATGGGGCCGTCAGATAAGCCGCCCATATGAACTGTTTATGTTCATGTGTAGGCAATTGGCCTGTTATTAACATACACTGGTTACCTCTAATAAAAACAGCAGTGTATTTCCGCCGTTTTGTATTGTTTCTGAATATCCCCTACTTTTTTGAAGAGTATATATTAATACCACAAAGACAAAGCAAATGATATAATGATTACCTGGTACTAATATTATATCTTTATGGCATTTACCATATATAAGATAATATGTATGTCTGGCTCCAATAATATTATGGTTTCCATATGGGATTACCCACGTGTGTTACTTGGGGACAGTATAATATCTATATGACATTTACCACATATAAAAATAAATAATATACATGTATTTGTCTGGGTCCAATATGTTATCCATATGGGATTACCCACATGTGTATCTGGGGCCAAAATCATATCTATATGGCATCTTCCACATATAAAATAATATATATATGTCTGGGTCCAATATGGTATCCATATGGGACCCACATCTGTACCTGTTTCAACGTAGAATCATACCCATTGAGTAGATATTAAGAAGTATTTAGGAAAAGCTTAAAGGAGCTAAATCGCTAACATTTGGGACCTAGAAATTGACAAAAGTGGGTCGCAACGCATATAATACTGTAATATGAATGTGTATAAACTGATTTACATTCAATCGTTTCCGTTTTTACTCCAATTTCAAATCAGTTATGTTCGGCGAAATAAGCCAGCAGTCTCAAGCGAGCGCAAATTTCTAGCGTCTGGTTATTCCAGTCTACATACGCCGTTTGATTTGGTGCAATGTGTCTAGCCTCGTCCCTCGAGTCTCTTGATGTAACTGGGGCTGATGCGCCTTATGGTACACGATTCGTGTACCATTGGTAAAATGTTTATTTTGTCTTAAATATTGGATATCAAAAGCCCATCTTTTCCCGGTAAGATCACAACATGAATGTTGATTTAATTTGACAAATAAATCGTGTTTTCAATGTTGAAGATTTTGGATGATATTGAGTTAGAGACTTAGCTACTTTAAAATAATAACTCGGCGCCACTAAGGCGGCTTTAAAATGGGAAATTCAAAGACAACAACTCTAAATATTTAACCGTATATTGATCACTATTGTTGTCAAAATACTGTACTGTGGAAGTTCCATAATTAAACCAGTTCTTTTGGTCTAATAAAATCGACAGCTTCAATGGGTTATTTTATCACAAGTACAATTTAGAATTGTTTAACTTTTCTGAAAATTCTCCAATGAAATTTTGTTGACTGCAATTTGATCAAATCTGATAAAATTTTAACCTTTACGAGTAATATAAATAGGTACTCCATAGTTAGATGATTTAGTCTACTGTCGTACTGAAACTTACTAAAAATTTAGTCAAAGAAATCAGGACCGGTTATTACTAAAGTTTATTATGAATACAGCCTGGCTGGTAGATTCTTGATAATTAGATTTTAATGACTATATCAGATTCTGTACTCAAATGATATAATATTTAATATTGCAGAGGTCATCAAGCCAACCTCAAAAACCTGTCAGTAAGTCATCCTTAACAACCAATTTAGTGAAGTTTGTTTGGTCATTGGCTGAATTTTAGATTCTAAAATGCAGAAGTATGTGTATAGCATCTAGAAGTTAGTACACTAACAAGAAACTAGTGAAAGTGGTACACATCTCTGCAGTCAATTTAATCAAAGGTAAATATGTCCCATCCTTTCCTACTATAATATGCTTAATGGTTCATGGAGTATCACTCAACTTTTGGTAAAAAAAAAATAAAGTTTCTATATTTCGAAAATTTTTATTTTGACCAATATCTGATTAAAACAAAAGATATAATAAATACTAAATCTGGTCTTTTTAGACTTAATCCATTTGAAACTAGAGTCATTAAATACTGTCCAAATTGGAAGAAGAGATGAAAGACAGCATAAACATCACTGGTCAGCTCAGCTATTTCACAAGTTGATGAAACAGACTTGGAAGACCTGTCTTTTATCTTACCAGTAAAGACAATCCAGTAACTGGTGCCTTTTTTCACAAAAAAACTTTAAAATTCCAACCATTTTCATTTATGATCAGGATGATGGAGCTGCTTGTGCGTGCATGTATGGTAAGACGTGATAAGAGAATGTGAACTTATATGGAAGAAATAGTCTCGTTCGTTCGATAACTTTACATTATAATGTAAAGTAACGTTGTGACAACATTGTTCAGGGGTTGTATCACAACGTCTGAAATAGGTCAGCTGTAGGTTGTTTTGCAACAAACTCTTACGTTGTGACAACGTTGTACGGACGTCAAAGCAACATTGTCACAACGTTGTGTGGTGGTTGACGAAAAGTTGTGACAACGTTGTACGGACGCCAAAGCAACATTGTCACAACGTTGTGTGGTGGTTGACGAAAAGTTGTGACAACGCTGTACGGACGTCAAAGCAACATTGTCACAACGTTGTGTGGTGGTTGACGAAAAGTTGTGACAACGCTGTACGGACGTTCAAGCAACATTGTCACAACGTTGTGTGGTGGTTGACGAAAAGTTGTCACGACGTCAGAATTTGTTGTTTTTCAACGTTGTGTGGTGGTTGGCGAAAAGTTGTCACGACGTCAGAATTTGTTGTTTTGAGGTTGTATAAAACCCAGTATAAGCCCCATCCGAACTCCCTACAGTTCTGCCCCCACTGGACTAACGAAGACGGGAATATCGGCCGGGCACGATGGAAGTTAAATTAGGTGTGTGTTCGGGGAAGGGGGGGGGGTGCTTAAATGCCCGACAGATTTGGGCCACGGTTTTGACATAGTGAAACGATACGCGAAGTTTCAACACCCTCACTCAATTAGAATCAAAGTTATTGTGTCCCATCACAACCAATCTAATTGCTTCTTTCTGAATAAAATCAGTATCAATTAATAGGACAGTACGTAGTTTCAAAACATTCAATTCAAACGATTATATTACAGTCAATATTAATGCTAGAGTCATATAACTTTGCAGTAATGGGTAAAGGTAATAGAATCTGATCATTAAATTTTAAGTAATGGTCATGTAATGAGTAATGGAAGATTTCAAAAGTAATGAGTAATGGAAATGTAATTAATTACATTCCGAAAATCATGTAATGGTCAATTACATTTCAATTACATTTAATGGCGCATTCTTTGAATGGCATTTAGTAATTAGAACATAATCAAATAACGCACTTTTATGGAATAACAATTACTATGGTTTATTTCACTGCAACGTTTCAACAAGATTTCACAAGTCGTTTTCAAGCATATATACACAAATAAATAAAATGAGAAAGATATGAATATATATATAAACATCAGTGCGAACTATCCAATGGTATGCATGTCTTAAAATCTGTTTGATTAAATGCTAAATTAGCACTAATCTTTAAATAGTAATAAAATGTAATTATTTACTTTCAATGTAATGGGTAATGAATGATATTGCTAAAAATGAGAAAGTAATTTTAATGCAATTGGTACTGTAATAATAATAATAATTTATTATTTATAATGCGCCTATTACCAATATAAAATGCTCAATGGCGCAGTTAACATTTTGTGGACATCACACATAGAAAATAAAATAAAATTAAATGGATGATAAAAGAACTTAAAATGGCTTATAAAGATTATAATAAAATATGACATGTAATAAACAAATTTAAACTGTACATGTACTTAATTGGTCCCTCTTCTGTCCGGCTCATATTTTAGATGAGCCGAAACTGCTGTTATTATCTCGGCTTCATTGCAGCTCGGCTGACTGATCATTACACTATCTGAAGAATACAAAAAACTGTATATTTACTCTGTCAAATTTTGTAAATTATATAATTCAGTCCGATCAAAAAGGTGGTCCTAAAGCTGTAACAGATAATTCTGCATCCCATGAATTATGGACCAAAGGTGGCTTATTGGGTAAAACGCTGGCTCGCTTGTCTGGAGGTCGCATTTTCGATCCCTACATTTGCCGAGAAAGTTCAGTAGGCCTGACAAGGACAACTGTTAGTCGTTTGGATGGTATGAAAAACCGAGGCCTCGTGTACACATTGACGTGCAAGTAAAAGATCTCTTGGCAGTTGGAATTCGATATAAGAGTAGGCCATAGTGCCGCTGCCCGGGCAAATTTTTCCTTCATTGCACGCGGTATAGCGCATGCCCATCTTCATTAGCCTAGTCTGAGCAGAACAGTAGGACGTTAAACCCCATATGAATTATATTATATATGACCCAATAACACATTCTATATGAGACATCGCTTGTGTTATTACTTTCATATTCTCCATAAATTTGTACATGTAAGAAAGGCATGGGTGTTAAATTACAAAAAAGATAGGTTGCCAGGCAACGAAACATACGCCCACAGCAGCTAAATCGTCCGGGCGGTCAACAAGAGTTGTCGCATATTTTTACTTTTTTCGGTAATGAAACATTTATAATACACTAAAATCTGATTAAGAGCAACAACTCAGAAAACCATTAGAATTTGTTTGGTTTTTATAAAGTTCTGCCCCATGCTAACGTTTTGTATACAAAACTTTTAATACTGTATCATGGATTTAGCTGTCCAAGTCATAAAGATAGGTTGCCAGGCAACGAAACATACGCCCACAGTAGCTAAATCGTCCAGGCAGTCAACAACAGTTGTCACATATTTTTACTTTTTTCGGTAATGAAACATTTATAATACACTAAAATCTGATTAAGAGCAACAACTCAGAAAACCATTAGAATTTGTTAGGTTTTTATAAAGTTCTGCCCCATGCTAACGTTTTGTATACAAAACTTTTAATACTGTATCATGGATTTAGCTGTTTCAAGTCATAAAAATTCATTGAAAATCAATATACTTGTTCGCCTCAAGATCTTAAACTCTGTGTATCAATCTGAAGTCAATCGGATATTAACTTTGGCCTCTAGAGCGTCCCCAAGATTTTTCAAAGTGATCAAGGGCCATAACTTTGGCAGTAATTATCAGAAATCTTTGAAAATCAATAGGATTCTTCGCCTCGTGACCTCAAACACTGTGTATAAATTTAAAGTCAATGAGATTAACTTTAGCCTTTAGAGCATCCACAAGGTTTTTTGAAGTGATCAAGGGCCATAACTCTGGAAGTAATTATCGAAAATCGCCGAAAATCAATAGGCTTCTTCGTCTCATGACCTTAAACACTGTGTATAAATTTAAAGTCAATCGGATATTCAGTTTGGCCTCTAGAGCGTCCACAAGATTTTTTGAATAGACTTCTTCGTCTCATGACCTTAAACACTGTGTATAAATTTAAAGTCAATCGGATATTAACTTTAGACTCTAGAGCGTCCACAAGATTTTTCAAAGTGATCAAGGGCCATAACTCTGGCAGTAATTATCGTAAATTGCTGAAAATCAATAGGCTTCTTCGTCTCATGACCTTAAACACTGCGTATAAATTTAAAGTCAATCGGATATTAACTTTGGCCTCTAGAGCGTCCACAAGATTTTTTGAAGTGATCAAGGGCCATAACTCTGGCAGTAATTATCGGAAATTGCTGAAAATGAATAGGCTTCTTCGTCTCATGACCTTAAACATTGTGTATAAATTTAAAGTCAATCGGATATTAACTTTGGCCTCTAGAGCGTCCACAAGATTTTTTGAAGTGATCAACAGCCATAACTCTGGCAGTAATTATCGGAAATCACTGAAAATCAATAGGCTTCTTCGTCTCATGACCTTAAACACTGTGTATAAATTTAAAATCGATCGGATATTAACTTTGGCCTCTAGAGCGTCCACAAGATTTTTTGAAGTGATCAAGGGCCATAACTCTGGCAGTAATTATCGGAAATCGCCGAAAATCAATAGGCTTCTTCGTCTCATGACCTTAAACACTGTGTATAAATTTAAAGTCAATCGGATATTCAGTTTGGCCTCTAGAGCGTCCACAAGATTTTTTGAAGTGATCAAGGACCATAACTCGGGCAGTAATTATCGGAAATCGCTGAAAATCGATAGGCTTCTTCGTCTCATGACCTTAAACACTGTGTATAAATTTAAAGTCAATCGGATATTAACTTTGGCCTCTAGAGCGTCCACAAGATTTTTTGAAGTGATCAAGCAATTGTGGACGCCGGACCGACGGACGAACGGACGGGGGCGAGGACAATATACGACCACATTTCAATGTCGGCGTATAAAAAGATCAACACTCATCGATGAAGTAATAAAAACTCGTGTATGCCCATACCATGTTTGATTATCCGATATTTAAGGATATGTTCGTAAATTGAGTATGATAAAAACAAACCTCGGACAACTTTGTAAATTTCTAAGTCCATTATGGACCGCCTCCCTTTATTTCCCTTTAAATTAAATTGGGCCATTAGGGAATTAGACATCAACCTGTTAAAATAAAAAGACATACTGTTTATGCGTTTGACAATACCACGAATTTTGACTTTCCATTCCTTGACACCTAGAAATGGACATAAATGGGTTGCAACGCATATAATAATGTAATATGTTTGTATATTAACTGATTTACATTCAATCGTTTCTGTTTTTACTGTAATGTCTAATCAGTTATGTTCGGCGAAATACGCGAAGAGAGAGAGAGAGAGAAATGGGGTTTAACGTCCACTTGACACAAACTTGGTCATTTCGGGACTAACACATGGTTCAATTTTATTTCAATAATTCGCTAGC